TTCCTGCAGCCTTTTTCTCAATTGTTTCTTCAAATGATAACTCCTGAGGTAACTGTCAGGTTCACTCATTTTCATGACAGTGTACCTAGATTATTATTAATTTAAAATGTGCATTTTGAAAGTACTGATAACTGTGGCAAAGCACTATCATTCAAGCAGCATTTTGGGGAGACACCTATGCTCCCTGAATCTAAAATCTGGGAGCCCAAACCAAAGTCTAGGAGACCAGGAATGGAAGTATTGTGCATCGATTATTGTTGCGTGATTACAACCATGTAGGATCTACCTCATTTCCTGTGAAGGACAAGTACAGGGTGGGCCAAAAAAATCTTCAGTTATCTTTGACGCTTCACAGAGTAGTTTGAAAATATTACAATATTGTTTTCATTTATCTAGCTTTCCACTGCTGTCAAAAGATGTTAGATCCATTCCTTCATTCCCATGCAGTTATTCACAGAGAAACAGAGGTTAAGCTCAGTCAAATCGCAGTCTGCAAAGTCGCAGGAGCTGATGATCTGGTTGATCTCTATGTCTTTGGAGATAGCATGGTTGAGCTTTAGAGGTCTTAACCGGGGTCGATCGGACATCTGTAGGTACCGCAGATCTTCTAGATGGTCGAAGAAGGTAGTTCTCAGTTCTTCAAAAGGCGCTTCTGGCTCTGAAGGAGCTTCAATTGCCCTCGGTGGAACCCGAAGTGAAGTCTCTTCAGGTGTTGCCTCCTCGTTTTCGGGTGCATTTCGTTCTGATGTGACGGGCTGGAGGGTGTTCAGGACTTCCTGTTTGATGTTTTCCCGCTCCAGTTTCGAGAGCATGTTGTTCCTCTCGATATAAAGTCTCTGATTTGCAAGTCGTTGCTCGTTAACATTCAGCTCTGAGTAAGATCGATTCCAGAGTTCGAGCATTTTCTTCCGGTACGCTCCTGGCGCATCGAATCGTGCTTTGTAGTAGGCCGGTGACCGCTTGACTCGCCGAATTACGACTGACCGAACTCAATTCGCCGACTACGACTTGCCGAATGTTCATTTCGTCGAATGACGACTCGCCGACTTACAATTCACCGACTGCTCATTTCGCAGAATGTTTAACTCGTCGAATGACGATTTGCCGATTGCTCAACTCGTCGAATCACAATTTGCTGAGTCAATATTAACCGATTGTTAAACTCGGAAGCTTAATTCCTTGAATAGAATTCTCCAGATATTCAATTGGCTGACTTAGTGAAACATTGCAAACGAGTTTTGCTTGGTACATGGTAGCCGAATTTGTCAACACCTGAAATGTTTCAAATAATTAAGAATGTTAGATTTACGTGCTCCTAAGGATGAGGTGACAAAAAACATTGAAGCCATTCAACTTCTCGTAAAAAATGTTTTTCTTTTAGTCATTTTGTTCAGCAGAAATATATTTAAAAAAATAATAATTATGAGCAATTCTCATGAAGTTCTTGGTAAATTCGGCACCCTTGTACCCAGAAACGACAATTTTCACTCTGCCGTTCACCCGACCATATTTCTTTTGGGGCATTGGAAGCTGATACCCAGCCCTAGCTCCGATAGAGCTGCTACAAAAGCTTCTTCCCGTTGAAGCTTAAGAGCCAGGGCTCACACCGAAGGATGGGCATTGTTCACCGAGCCGCTGAAGGGGAGGGGGAGTACTCCCTTCTGGGGTGACCAGCAACGGTACGCTGGTACTGCGACCACAACGAAGGGGGAAACAGAGGCTGGAGGCAACGACCACCTCTTCCAACATTTCCAATGTAGTTGGACTCGAAATCTCGAAGCTGAGCTATCGGTGAATTATAAGTCAGCGAATTTGATTCGACAAGTTAAGTATTCAGCAAATTATAGGTCGACGAATCGTCATTCGACGAATTGAACTTTCGGCGATTTGAGCAGTCGGTGAATTATAAGTTCGTGAATCGTCATTCGACGAAATGAACTTTCAGCGAATTGTAGTCGACAAATTGATTTCGGCGAGTTGTCACTCGGCGAAATGATAGGGAATCAGTAGGCCCGCATGACGTCAGTGTTAATGGATTTCGTCCATTTCATACGTTTCCTTGCTGGGGGCATGTTTCCTATAGCAGAGGAGGGTCGAGTGTCAACCCTGGCCCCTGGGACAGAGATGGTTGTTTCACCAGTAGCCTTTACTCCCACTTCTGCCTGGTGAGGATCAGGAATGTGAGAGCCTCCGCACGCCAACTTTTCACTGACTGCACCGATAGACCTGCAGCCAGCGCTGCCCTATTTATCCTGGGCGACGGCCGAGCCAGTATGAACTTTTCTTAGGTGTGGCATCATCATGCAAGCACGAAGTTGAGAACCTGGCAGGTGAGGCGCAAGGCCACAGCTGTCTATGGCATTAGGTGCACATGGTGATCCTCTGATCCATGGGACACCACGGCCGTTGGACTGTCGAGAGTCTCATCCACCCTTTATCGGTGAAGTGTCCAGCACCGCCGGATAATTTTTTCAGCGTCATGTCCAGGACGTCTTGGGCAAGCAGCTCGATATTCCCGTGTCTCCCATCCAGGTTCTGACCTGGCTGACGCTGCTTAATCGTGATCGGAGGAGCCCCGATTCAAGTGCTGCGCCACGCTGCTGGCCTTGAAATAATAGGCCATCACCTGCTTGCCAACCGTCTACAAAGTGCTGTCTTCCATCCTACCAGCACGAATCGAACGACACATCTATGACAACAACATCATGTCGGCAGTCGCCGTGGAAGGATTTATAAATAAATCCTTCCACGGACTGCCGGTATTGGAGGTATGAGGGGGGATGAGCCACATCCCAGACCTCATACTCGCCTAATTCTGAAGGACACGGCGGAGGATGTTGGCCGTACCCACTCCAGCTTCCTAACATGTCCCTTGAGGTCTTTCAGGACGACGCCAGTTGTACCGATGATGATCGGAACGATGGTGGTCTTCATTCCGCACAACCGTTCTACTTCCACTTTCAATTCGGAGTATTTCTCCAGCTTCTCCCTGGTCTTCTCTTGGAGGTTATTATCAGCTGGGATGCTCACATCTACGAGGAGGGCGGTCTTCTTCTCCTTCTTAGAGATCGTGAGGTCCGGCTTATTACAGCCTATGGTGCGGTCTGTAATTATGGGCATGTCCCAGAGTACCTTGGTGGAGGAGTTCTCCATTACAGACTGTGGCTGGTGTTCGTACCATTTCTTTGGGACATTCAGGCCGGTGTCATGGTGTATTCTTTCCCCCCAGAAAAAAATATACCGGACGGAGGTCAGTATTTTCTTTCCCCCCGCGGTAGATCCTTTCCCCCCTGCAACTTCAGCTTTTCTCGTAGATTTTAGCGAAACTCTCCATAAGTGGTGTGTCTTCTAAATACAATGCAAAGCCTATCGTCTGTGAACTCAATCAATACTCAATAGGCAAAATCCCCATTCGATGGAATTTTAAGTTAATCCTGTATGGAGGAAGTAGACACACCTATTCAACAGATCCATCGAAAGCATGAATACAAGTTCAGTTCGTTGGTGGACTCCGGCCCTCGCTCATACCAGTACATCAGTACGTCCACGATGTCAAAAGTCGAGATAACTTTCGTTAAGGCATCAGAAACAGATTTGGCATACAAGTAGATTTGAGGAAAAACCTCAACTCATCCATTTAATGAGGATTCGTTCGCTTCGGCTATGATCTCAACCGCTTACTATAAGTGGCGTTTCCAGCTGTTACAGTTGGAGCATGAACGACATACCATTTGGTAGGCTTACTTTTCTTAATTTATTATATTTAAATAGAATTTCTAGGTACTTACCCATTCAAGTACTCAGTGAAAACGCAGAGGTACTTATGCCCTTGGAGAGGCTCTTTCAGAGGACCAATTAGATCAACTCAACGTTGAAATAGCTTTGGTGAGACTCTTATTGGACGTAACTCACCACTGGCAAGTGTACTGAAAGGGTTACTCTTTAGGCACACTTCACATTTCTTACAGTAATGTTTGACATCCTTAGAGATGCCCTTCCACCAATAATTAGCACTAACTTTCTGGAATGTAGCATTCCTCCCAAAATGACCGCCACCAAATCCGTAATTAAATTCATCCAATGCCTTCTTTTTCTCTCCATCTCCAACTACTACTCTCTTAGCTTTCCAATTCTTCTTTGTATGATTAAAGAGAATGCCATTTTGCAGATCAAATGACTGAGCAAAGATTTTGTATGTCCTTTTTTCCTCATTTGACTCACAATTTGGTGGATTCGTCACTTTCTGTTGTCCTTTCGATAGTAAAAAGAGACGTAAGTCTTCACACATTTTTTCATCCATGGCAACTGTGAGAGGGGGCTGTTTCGTACCAAAAATTTCCTTGTACGTGAAGCGAGGCGAGAAAACATGGAACGCGACCTTCGTAACCCTAACCAGGAATAGCCTCAGGTCTGAAAAGTTGCGAACGAAAAAAAAAAAACAGGGTTATTGGCAAGTTACCGTGTGCTTGCGAATTCCATGTGTGTGTGTGTGTGTGTGGGGGGGGGGGGAAAGAAAATACTGACCTCCGTCCGGGATATTTTTTTCTGGGAGGGGGGGGGGGGGGGGGGGGGGGGGGGGGATATGCCGTCTTCACATCCGTCGTGTCGCAGTCGTTATCGAGATGGAGTGCGTTTCGGAAGCGGGTGGCATCTCCCTGGATGGAGTGCGATTTCTTTAGGGCATCGCGCTTTCTCAGGATGAAAATGAGTCGTCCCTGTTTCCTTTCGATGAATCTGGCGACTTCGCACGTCGTCCGCTTATAGAGGGACTTGAGTTCGATCAGTCCCCTCCCTCCCTTGCATCTCGGAAGGTAGAGTCTTTCAAATACAGCCTTCGGATGGTGACCATACGGTTGAGCAAGAGCTGTTCCTTGCAGCCGTACGATCCTTTCCGACAACCCTTTTGCTCCTCCGACATGATGTTGTTGTCATAGATGTGTCATTCGATTCGTGCTGCTGGGATGGAAGACAGCACTTTGTAGACGGTTGGCAAGGAGGTGATGGGCCTGTAATTCCGAGGTAGCTCGGTCTCGGCGTTTCTTGGCAGTAGGTAGGTGACTCCTGCGGTGAGCCAATCCGGCATCTCCGAGTGGTTCTTCACTACTTTCGGCATTTCTCTGGCGAGTTGTTCAAGTAGTGATGTTGACTGCTTCAGCCAGAAGTTCGGAAGGCGGTCGTGTCCGGGGCTCTTCCAGTTTGCTGTTTGTTTGAGCGCCTTCTTCAAATCAGATGTTGTAATCTGGGGGTCACTCATTTCGGGAATATCTGTTACCTCCCTCTGACGTCGGAGCCATGTGGCATCGACGTTGTGGCTCACCGGGCACTCCATGATGTTCGACCAGAATTCTTCCAGTTCCGCCTTGCCAGGAACCTCCTTCACTACTATGGGTTTTGCTCCCAGTTCCCGGTAGAATAGCTTCTGGTTGTTCGTGAAACGCTCGTTATGCCGGAATATTATACTTTCTCCCCTTTGAAAACGGTAGAGCTTTTTTGTAATCATATGACAATAGAGAATGTCCGGGCAAGTCTTCCTTTCTGTGCACTAACCAAATTTCCCTATAGGTTAAATTTTTCAGGCCTTTTCTGAGCAACTGAGGGGTTAGGCTCAAGCAGAGATGTATATTTTTCTTTTCCATTGGTGTAGGTGTATCCACACCCATTATTGAATGATCCCTGAATAAAAGCTAGCCGTTCCTTGGTTAGAATGGGATATTGATGACCTCTGACATGAGGAGTAAAGTTACTAATTTTGGACAGGTCTTACATCTTATATATTGATAGATCAAGCAAAACTATTGAACAGTCTCAAAGGTTGATAATTGAAGTTCTCAAACGCGGTGGTGGTATTCTATGTGCAAAGGACTCTATATCAAGCTATAGTCTGCAGTAGGTATTTGCTGATCTCTTCTTTCTCTTTTTCATGGACTTGGTTGCACATTGCAGCAAGTGGAGGGATCCAGTAGCATTGGCATTCTAATCACTTTCAAGTTTCTGTGTACATTTCTGGAACCATTGTCTTTGGAAATAATTTTTTATTGCTTTTTTACCCCAACCTCAACTTTTGCATAGAAGTGCCATCAAGGAAAGATTGTAAAGGGGAGTCACTCCATTTTTTAAATTTAGTTTTTCATTATTTAATTTTTTTTCATACCAAGAGTGAATGTTCTTGAAACTGTGAAAGACAAACTGAAAAACTGGCTCTGACCAAGGAAGTAGCATTTGACTTTGGTTGGTCCTGTTGGCTTCCATGTTCTGGTACTGGTAGTAGTTCAACACAGTGTGAGTTAAACAGGAGAGCTTAATTTTTTTCAGAGGTTGTTTGTAAATAAGGAAGACTTGTGCTTCACAATGCAGGAGACAGAATGTTTTATAACCTTCATCCCAGAAAATTTCCGAAGAGGCAGGCCTAAACTGGACTGTATACTTGAGCATAAATGTCTAAGCAATCCAGCTCGGGGCATGCTTTTTCGATATTTGGGCTTTCAAATGATATTCCTTTTGAGCTAATTCCCTGGGGTTATGCTGATAATTTGAATTGTTTTCAGCAAAAAAAGCTCTTGGAGCAAGGGGTACCTGTTGTTGCAGATACAGAATATGGACAGGTAAAATTGAATATGCAATTGGCAGAATCCAGTGTTCAGTTCCATCTGCCAGAGGGAAAAAACTCCATCCACATATCCTGTCCTGTTCGAGTTCTGCATGGGATGCTTGTGAGTGACTCATACATTTTGTCAGTCACTCTTTTTAAATTGTCAAGCTCTACTTCTTCCATCTGGTTGCATGATGTTATTTAGTTCATATCCATGTACTGCTGAAGGGTAATTTCTCCACCATCTGCTATCTTGGATCTGGTTATCTGACAACATGCCTTTATTAATTTTTTATTTAGTAAGTTTAGTAATTTTAGTAAGTAATTTTAATAGCAATCACTGCTAATTATCATCGTTTTTCAATATTAATTTACATAATTATTTTGTCAATTCATTAAAGACTCATAAATTTCAAAATAGGACCATAAGTAATGTGAAAAGGGAAAAGAATCACTGACACTTCAATGTCAGGCATGGAACTCCCAAACTCTATCCCATGTTAAGAATTTTTTTTCATGTGAATATGCAATTGCAAATTCAAATTCTTATAAAAGTCTTTAAAAGAATGGGATAGCCAAAGTTGCTGAAAATGCCTAATAATACAATACTTAGCAAATATAAACGTGTTTTCCACCCTTGGGGCACATCTGGTAAAGATGCATTATGTTTTCTGTCATAAATATGCTAATGTTATTTTACCTTACATTAAAAATAAACCTGACAGGTACCACAAGTAACCTGCAGGCATTACAGGGATATAGTGAAGATATTGAGTGTCCCAAATGTCCTGCTCCATAGTCAGCTTTAATTGGATTTGAGCTGAGGAGATGAACTTTGTTATTTGGTAGTAGTAGGATCTTACAAAAACCTGAATGCTGAAGCAAAGCAGTCATTTGCTTACTTGCTTTCCAATAATTTTCTCCTTGATGCCCTTGGCAACTTATAAGGTGAGGAATGAGATTGTTAGCTTCACAACAGTGATCTTGAGTTTCCCTTCTGGATGTGTTTGCAAGTTTATGGGCACTGCATTGAGCTGTTGTGTTGAGTGATTAGTCATTTCAGTCATTTCCTTAAAATTTCTTCATTATGTTATAGAGAATTTATGGTTTACATGTTCTTACTGGTTCCATTTAATTCAACTAGTTGACAGCAACATTTTTTTTTGTTTCATTCCTCACCCATTAAGTCCCAAAGCTGTGAGACAGAGGAATTTTTTAAAGGTAAAAAAGTGCATATGAGATTAATTCATTTTAGCATTCTGGCCTTTCTACTTCTACAGAGTGTCTCAGAATATGTCTTACATATTGATGCTGAGTGCTCCAGTGTTCAAAATGTCTCATGTTCACATTTCAAAATAATTTCATATCATTTGTTTGAAATGAAAGAACATGATATAAACACATTAGTCTTCTGACAAACGAAACATTTATGTGAGATAGGTCAAGAGCAATAAAATAGGCTAACTAGTGTGCTGAGTGACAGGAATTTTGGGACATTCAGTACTTCACACCCAAAGATCAGGCCCCTGGCTCAAAAAGCAAAAAAGTTGACCAAAAGGTGTGACTTTCGGGACATTTTATTGTTAACCTCTTCAGACCCAATGGCAAAGTTATGTGCCAATTTTGAAATCCTTAGGGCTCATTATCTAAGCTCCACATCTGATGGGCAAAGCAAGGGAGCCAATATTGTTTTATCTTCCTTGGTATAGGAGGAATGTAGTGGCAAGTGTACATGCCACCAGGTTTTCTTCCTTAGAGATGTGTGGTTGGCAACATGCATTTGGTGAAGGTAAAAAAAAAATTAATTAAAGCCAGCAATCGAGGATCTTATTCAACAGTGTTTCTCAATCCTGTCATAGTCATTGCCCCTGACAAGAGTAATAACTTGGGCTGGGTGGTACTCAATAAAACTGAAGTATCGCTGTACCCCACACCCTCCTTTGACCCAATCCCACTCACAAGGGAGAGACCAGTAGTCTCCAAATACTGGGCCCTCCATACTGTGGTTCTCACTTTTCCAAGTACTCAGAATGTGAACAGCACCACAAGAAATTGCTTCCTTTGGTGATAATGAGGCTGGAGGCATTTTCCTATTGCGTGGCTCACCCATGTCCAACAGCTGATGCAGAACATTTTTGGGAAGAGGGGGTGGAATCCCAGGAGAGACTGGGGTGAGTGAGAGGCTGAGAGAAGCTGGATGGGACTGCCTGCAAATATCTACTTGAAACAATCATGGAAGGGGGGGTGCTTCCCCCCCTTAGATCTGTGTCCATATGTCTTTTCCTTTTTCTTTCTAGTCTTCCTCTTTGTTTTCATCAGCCTGGTGCTGGGAGGTCCTGAACAAATCATATTCATCCCCAGGTAGATCAATATCACTCTCTCAAAGCTGATCAAGGAGTTCTGTGTAATTGGACACTGAAACGAAAATTTACTGGCATTATGCCTCATGGCATGTGTACATGCCATCTATGTTTTGACCCATCCCATAAGAGCTCTATGATAAGTTGGATATTCCTTTATTTATAGATAGTTTCCTGCACTATTTGGCTCTGCAGTTCAACATGCAATATAATTTTATGGCCAATTATAAGCAATTGACAATAGCTTTTATAATTGCAACGACACAGGCAGCCATATTCAAAGAAGTGCCAAGTTCACATGCCCATGCTGTGATGCAGACTGAATCCAATTGGGTGCATTAATTTTTTTCAGGAACTCTCATTAATCCTTTTGTGGCTTACAGTGTGATCCATGACAAAGAATCGATTTCAGCAGGGATTTCAACATGTTAATGTTTGGTATGCCATGGGGTCTGAAGAGGTTAAACTCAAGATCAATGGATTTGAAACATGTTTTGATATGATTGTCGGCAGTGTATCAAATGAAATATTTTAGCATATTTTATTGCTATAAATGATTTTTGTTGCAGCCTCAGGTTGTAGTGCAAGGTACCTCAATGAAATGTAGCTCACTTGATTTTGATTATAAGGGAAAATAAAACATGCCACAATTGGAAAATTTGTGGTGACTCTGAAACAATGGTGACCGCAATGAGGTTTCTTTCATACACATGTCTATGTATTCTTTGAGTGTCTGAAAATTTTTACCCATTTATTTCTGTATTATCACACAAGTGATTTCACAAAAGCAATTGGAAATTTATTCATGGGCTTGCACCTGGACACTGATGGAAGTACCTGCCCCAATCACTAAGAATGGTGATTCTTTCAAGAGTTTTTTCCTTTGCACTTGAGAATATGCTGAGCATATCCCTGACTCATTCTTGCATTTGGCAATTTGCATATGAGAATTTTTTATCCCAATATTGTCATCTTGAGAAGCAATAATTTCCTCCACGTCAATGTGGTTTCCTTCAGTTCATAGCTAGTTTTAGTCTTTTGCTCCTTCACTTCTCAGATGAACTGGTTTCTCACAGCTTGTGAGTCAGTCCTTTAGCAATAGATTTACATTTCTTTCATCCCTTACCAGGAAATTCTTGCAAAATTCTTTTCCCACCCCATCCTTTTGCAAAGAAGAGCACATAATCAAGAGCACAGGGAGGAGCTCTGGCCTGAGATTGGTGCACTGAATGCATAGCAATCACTCTCGTGCCAGAAGGTTTCCTCAAGAAAAATAAAATATTGGGTTGCTTTTGCATTTTCACTTGTGCTAAAACAGCTGGAGAAAGGTGAATGAGAAGTTTATGACATTTAAAAGATATGTAGAAGTTTTTTGTGGCAAAAAAAAAAATTTCCATGGTATGTGCTATATCATGAACTCCAAAGGATCTCCAAGGGTGGCTTTTTTTGCTTCACCCAGTATATAGGTTTATATATGAGGGTGAATCAAAAAGTAAAGGTTCTTTATCTTTCTAGATTTATTAAATCTAGAAAGGGATAGTGAACAAAGTTTTAGCATTATTTTTCAATGTAGTCCCCGTACTTCTTCAAACACTTGTTACATCAGTCCACAAACTTCTTGATGCTGTCTGAGAAGAACATATTTGGTTGTTCCTGAAGCCAAGTATGCACTGCTTCTTTGACCTCATCATCATTTGAAAATCAATGTCCACGTAATGCTTTTTTCAGAGGGCCAAGAAAGTGATAGTCACAAGGAGTAAGGTCCGGACTGTAGGGTGCCAGGTCTCCAGGCAGCCCTGCCCAAATCGTGCAATTTTCATTTAGAGTTGAATTAAAGGTGCTTAGAGGTGGATCATTTCAAGTGAGGTGATTACCTGTGCTCGACTGTCTCAGAATTCAACTTTTCAACTTTAGCTTTTCAAGGGACTGTTGGATGCAGCTGATATTTGAAGCAAAGATGTTCACGAGTCTAAGTGGGTTTTTTTCACTTCCACAAGAGTGTGTTGTATCCCCATGTTGTTGACTGGGTGACTGATGGTGATTAAAAAAAGCTCCACCATTTTCAAAGGGGAGAAAGTACAATTCATGTATTTGAAATAAAAAACATTATTCATAAACTCTTGTCATTGAACATTAGGAGGTGTTGAGAAGATTGTCTTGTTTTTTTTCTGAACAATTTTATGAGCCATGTGTTGTCTTGTTGCACAGTTCACAGGTGGAGCATTACACCTTTTTTTAAATCACCTTCGGTCACCCAGTCAACAACAGCACCCTCTATTGTGATGCAGCGCCATCTTGCAGAAGTGAAAAAAAACCTCTTAGACTCATGAACCTCTCTGTCAAGTATCAGCTGGATCCAACAGTCCCTTGAAAAGTTCATTGAATTCTGAGACAGTCCAGCACAGGTAATCACCTCACTTGAAGTGGGATGATCCACCTCTAAGCACCTTTAATTCACCTCTAAATGGGTATTGCATGACTTTGGCAGAGGTGCTGAAAAAAAGCTGGCAAACATTTCAACACCTTGTAACTGTCAAACAGTTTTCAACACAGATGTGAATGACCAAAGAGCCAGGAACTGGAAATAAAGAAAATGTGTGATATGGAGGTTTGTTGTAATAAGTGTCGACTGTATCTTAGACCTGTATCGACCTTCTATCTATTTCATACATAGGAATTTTAAAAGTGGCCCATAATATATTGGTCCATCTTGTAGATGAGGTTATTTGTTAAATGTGCTATCCACATGAGTTATGGCAACATCTTGGTTGTTTCACTGAATAGGACAAGAATGCACCATATGCAAAGATGATATCACAGATACAGTGCTTCACCTCACAAGATGTGAATATCATTCTAAGGAAGGAGGGTGAGCATCATATGTCTTCCCCTAATGATGTCAACCTTCTCATTTCCACTATCAAGGACCTCATTCAAAATGCCTCCCACCCTACTTCAATCTGAGGTCCACCCATGATACTATTTTTCCCTAAGGCACATCCTGATGTGAACGTGCTATTTTTTGTCATTACCTGTTATTATGTACGCATATTAAATTCTATTTGCTCCTGAATTTGCTCATCTTATTTGATAGTAACATTTATCAGTGTGCCAGCACCTACACTTTGCCAGATACCTTCTTATGCCTTCTTCTCCTGAGATGCTAGAAAACTGACTGCCTGATCTCTCATGAGCATTTCACAAGTCTCAGTTAAGCATCTTAAGCTGCAAGCTGGTAAATGTCTACAATGAAATGCCAAAAAAAAGCTCCAGGATACAACAAATGTATGGAACAGCTATGGAAAAGAATGCTGAGCAACATAAATATTGAATACACCAATGATGACTTCATCTCGAAAAGACTGTTGAAAACGTCAAAAACCCAGATGGATAGGTGATTTCCAAAATCAAGACTGTCAGACCTGAAGATTCATATGAGACAGAGATTCTTTCATATACCAATGGTGAGACCTGTAACTCACTCCTTTTTTCACAATGTGGCAGTGTTGTTTAGGCTGGAATGGAGTGCATTACTTTGAAGAAGGGAGGTCACCTCCTGCTCACCTACAAATACATATTTTGGCAAGACACAGCAGTGGGGACAATTACTAATTGGATGTGTACAGAAGTTGGTTGTCACTCCCAAAAAGAGGGGAAGGAAAATTGAATATTGGAGGACTCTCATATCAAGCCCATGTGTGATTTTTATCTCTTAGGCATTTCAGACATTAACCTACATGCAATTAGGCATAATGGCATTCAGGCAAGTGGGATTCGGCGTGTCATCATACACATGTGTATATCAGGGTGAATCTAGTCAAAGTGGTGGTGATTCTTGCTTCATACCCCATCAAATGAAATAAATAAAACCCATGAATATTGATAAATATCAATTTTTTTTAATTAAAAAGTAAAAATTTAGCATTGGAGAAAGTTTTGAATTATTTTTAAAAAATGTTGCTTTTATTTAATCAATTACATTAATAAACATGATTGACTCAATGTGAAACCAAAGAGTTGATGTTCTTATTTTTATTCTAAAAAATAAACAGTAATTTTTCGCACAAGTTTTTACACTGTTTATGTTTTGAATGACAGCCCCCATTCATGACTACAATTTGGATGTGTCTGGGTAAAGAATATAGTACATCCAAAAGTTTTTTAAAGAGATGTCACTGAAGTATACAAGACTACCCATACATGAGGCAATAATTGCATTAAGGATGATCCCAATGTTCTCCCTACTCTCATCATATCTCAGCTTGGAAGAATGCAAAATTGCTGGCCATATGAAAGCATCCGGCTTCTGAATCCTGCCGAGACCTAAACAAAATGTTTTGTCGATTTTCACGATCAGAGTGGCTCCATTGCAAGACATTCAGGAAGCACAACATTGTCAATCCCAAGCATTTCAGCGGGAATCATTCATCGTCATCCTTGGGTGCTTCTCATGCCTCAGGCTATGTTGCATTCGAACAATTGAATGAATCTGAGTGAATTTATGGAGAGAGCTATTGCCGTGGTGAATAGATGGGTTGACATAGATCTGCAAATCCTGCTGAATCAGCGGACCAATTTGACTGTAGAGAGTGGCCAACATGCCCTTGCTTCACAGCAAGACTTAATTTAAATTTTGTGGTGATAATTTAACCAACACCTGGGAGTGGGAGAGAAAGTTCTGGCGTCATCCATTGCACAACTGGTGCAACGGTGGTTTCAGAAGTTCAGGTCTGGCGACTACAGCTTAGCCGATTAAGCGCGTTCAGGCCGACCTGTTGAGTTCGATGATGACCTGCAGATAGCCACACTTGAAGATTATCCTGCTAATGAGTCGATTCAAAAACGGCGCTTGAAGTTCACGAGAATGCTGTGAAGCGCAAATGTTTTCCAGATCTCTAAGATTGTCTGGTGACAACATGGAACCCACTTTCCAAGTTTAGACACTTTTCCCAGCCGTTGTTTCCCGTCGTTTCCTAGCGGCAATAAACGAAGAAATGGGTCGAATTGAGTTTCTGGGCAAGTTCTTCAACTGTTACAGTAGGATCTTCTTCAAGTGTGGCTATCAGCAGGTCATCATCGAACTCACCAGGTCGGCCTGAAAGCGCTTCATCGGCTAAGCTGTAGTCGCCAGACCTGAATTTCTGGAACCACCGTTGGTATTTCCTCGCATTTAGAGCTCCCTCGCCAAAAAAATCTTGAATGTTTTTCGTAGCTGCAGTCGCGTTATTCCATTTCTTAAATTCATAAAGCATTATATGCCGAATGTGTTCCTCTGACACCTCCATCTTGTTTTTAGCGTCTATGAAAAACGGAGCGCTGTTAACACGTTAAAACCTATACGTAGACTGAAGACTAACGTCTACACAAGTTAGCATACAAATATTCCATGAAATGTGCACAGATACCCGTATGAACAAGACACAAGTCTGGCAATGCGAAAAAACCGCATTACTTATGGGATGACCTGATACTTCCATCTTTTTAATTCCTCGGAAATAGAAAGCCCCCCCTTACACTCTAAATGTCCCCAACCATGCCCTATGAGGGCATTATATGGATGTGGGATTTTTCCACTGAGTAACCAATGCTACATGCTTCTGAAACTGAAATGTGGAACTTTCTTATTCTTATATTGTACTTATGCAAAAACTTTAGTTATGGATGTCTTTTTTCCCCGTGTGTCCAGAAAACGCCCCACTTGCAGATGTGCACATGCACAGTGGTTGGGTGTTGTATGGAAAATTGGCTCAAATGGGATTGCGGAATTTCCAGATTTGTGCCATCGATGCGGAATCTCATTCGGAGCGACTGGGTTTGTTAACTCCTTCGACTCCCGCGCCGGGGGTCGGGATTCGAAACTGACCGAGTGTGGCATTATTTCCTCGAGCAAGACCCAGCGTACGCGGAAAGGAAGACCTCCAAGCGTGAGGCACTTAAATGTCTAGATGCGTGAGGCACTTCATTTTCTAGATGCGTGAGGTTAGAGAACTCCAGTGATGAAGACCTCACCCAGGTCGAGTACAACCATCGAGGCCGAATAGAATCGCAAAAAGTTACAGGTCACTCGTGCAATTCGTTTTAGTTCACGACCTCATAACCAGTCCGTCTTTTAATTTATGAGAGTTTTAAGAGAATGTTTCACCAAGAAAACTCGTGAAAGGCAAGTAAATGGGGGTGGGGATGGAGAGGATGGGTCCTACTATTAATAATAGCCCTGGATTTCTCATAACCCAGATTTTCTCGAATTCCCCGGGAGTTCCCGTTTAACATCTCATGAAACAAGAACCCTTAATGGTGTCTAGAATAATCAAATACCTTCGTATATTATCAACGCTACAGGATGACTTTCTTGCGAGGAAAACTTGCCAAATGTCCGAAGGGGACTTCAGGGATGACGCCATTACCCTTTTAGAAACTTAGCTATCGTGCGAGCGTTGAGCCAAATCATGCCGAGACGACGTCTCTAAAAACCATTTCCGAGTTCGAGTCGCCTTTCAACCAAAAATTCCTTGAAAAGGCAATTTTTCTTCGGAGCAGGGGAACCACCTAAACATTGTACCTTCAATATTTACCATGGCAACCGAGTGGTTATATTATTACAGCTGAAATTAAATTGTTTAAATCAAGGTTGACTTGCATAATGGAAAAGATCATAATGTTTTGAGCAGGAAAAAAAAATCGGAAAAACGGGTAGAAACTAATTGATGACTATAAGGGAGGGTTATTTTTTTTCTTGACTTTCTTTTTCGATGGAGCTGGGTCATGACTTTTGTCACACGTTGACTCCTCTTTTGCCACATTTCCCCCTGAGAATGAGGAGTGTAAGTCGAAAAGGGGCATCCCATCAGCTTTATGGCTTTTTTTTTCAAGTAATGTGTAGTCGCTTGAATCCCATTTCGTTCCATCTTAACACATTGCGTACCGGACATTTTACCCCATTGATCCACCGCTCTGACCTAAGCCTCAGTTATCTTAGTCTAAAGCTCGATGCCTACAAGTCTATGGGTGGATTTTTGAACAGAGTTGATAGGCTATTACGACGAAATAAATGGCCTAAATATTACGTAAAAGAGACTTTATTTCGACGTAATAGGGATAATGCTCTGTTCAAAAATCCACCCTATGACTTTTTCGGCCATAGGCTAGGCAAAAGGACTCAAAAACAGAGATCTCTGTGAGCAATGTGTTAATAAATGGAAGCCTCCGCTCTTCTCGTTTGATCACTTCCCGCGAGGATTCCTCCTAATCATTAGGTGAGTACAGGATGAAATAGGTGTGGAGGAGTTTTTCTTGCTTCTCGAACTCGAAGGTCGCAAGTGTAGAAGTGAAGACTAATAATTGCCTAAATGAACATCGAAAATTGAAGCAGCGTGAGATAGCATTACGAGTGAATTCGTTGCAATAGATACAGTATTTGTATGGTAGACAGGTAACTATTGGAAGCAGGTAGTAGGATGAGCTAACGGCTCGTCTACGTGGATGTAGCCCCCATGCTCTCGAAACCCCTTTCGATCTCCACGACAGGAACTACTGCGCCCACCCATCCATGTTTCGTGAATCCGGCCATTCTAACGAATTCGAAATAGCCTTGAGAAAGGGGGGGATTCGCGTTCGAAGATTCTGCTCGCGGGAAGAAAGGGAGGCATACGATTGGTACGATATACCGGGTAAGGCAAAAAAAAAACGCGTCACTCTTGGGCATTTATTGGGGCGAATATATCATTTTGATTTTTTTTTTGCGAACGATGCAAATGTATCCTGTAACCTTCTTGAAGGTCTTGTTCATTTATCTCCAGCCATTTTTTTTTCAAATAAACGATTTTATTGAAGTGAATCAACTTTTTTGTGCAGGAGAGCGACGGGAGAAGAAGGCTGATGCCCGTTATCCGCACCAATTTCGCGCCAGTTCTCCTTGGTCTATCGGTGACAATACTCTCGGCGGAAGACAGAGCAGTTATTACTACCTGCTATTTTGAGAAAGGATGGGGTGGAACCAGAATCGTGAAAGAATTTCCTGGAAAAACGTGGAAGAAATGCACTGTTAACAGGTTAATCCAAAAGCTGAGCGATATAGGTTCCTTGGAGAGGAAGAGAGGGAGCGGTAGATCAAAATCAGCCCAAACTGAGGAAAACTGTGCCTATGTGGAGGAAGCCATTGTCTCTCAAGAAGGGCATCCAGGAACGCACAAATTTCAGAGGGATATTGCTTACTTAGACCTACTGAGACTTAGAACTTAGACTTCTTAAACTATGGATCGCTACATTTATTTCCCTTTTAGGAAATAAATTTGGTTTCCGTGAGATTCGGTTCAAACTTTAAACCTCACCTTTTAGAGTTTCAAGCGGCAAACACGCAACCAATAGAGAGCTTCTGTTTTGAATTACTTAATGTTGCACAGACCTGTGCAACATATGTGGGGGTATAGTCAGCTTCCCATCCTGAGCCAAAGTATGTGAAAGAAATTCCTTGACTATGTTTCGGGATGGTTCCATTTGGCCGAAATTATTATTAATTTTTTTTTTCTGTTCTCAAATACTTTGTGTGATAGCAGCTCTGAGAGCAACGGTCGCGCAACCGAAACACTCAAGTGATGCAGGATTTCGAAAACCTGCAAAATCTTCTCATTCACTGGAAAAGTCAGATTAGCAATGCATTAAGTCCGACTTTCTTGCGCGTGAAAGCCAGACTAGGATTACCCTCGTAGACAGTCAGTGTAGCTGAGGCTCAAGCTGGACTTTCCTTCCAGAAGGGAAAGCACTAGTGGCACACTAGTCCCTGAGATCGGAACCGGGTCCCGCATATTCCGACGGGTGAGAGGGTTATCAGTGTGCATTTCATGGGCAAAATCTTTACAAGAGTTCTCTCTGGGAGACGGGACATCTTCCTGCTAGAAAGAGAGATCAGAACATTTCTACATCTATTCTCTGCGACACATTAACAAAACCCCGCCATTTTCTAACACCTCGCGCAAAATTTAGCGGTAATGTCCATTCCATCCAAGTTCGCAAGTATTCTATTGCAGGATTGCATAACGAATTCCCGAAGGAGACGATGGGGCGCATGGATCTCTGTGCGAGGCCCGGACTCCATTCTTTGCACAAATTTCTCAAGGGAGAAAAAGCCCCAGACTGCGCAACTCTGCCATGCCCTCCGTGCCTCGCGGTGTGTCGCACGCCTACTTCCTCTCAGAGATGAGATCCGGTGTGCACTCGAGTACTCCGTAGCGCACCGAACGAAAAGAAGCGAATGCGGAGAAATCGATCCGATCGTTGACGATGCACGGCACGGGCGGACGGACGGAGTGCAACGTTATCATGTACGCTCCGCTCCTGTTGCCGCGGTCGCCATGAGAACCGGGCATCGACCCATTCCATCGAACCTTCCTCTACGGATTTCTCCATCCCGACGAACGGTACCACCGCACTCCTCTGCTACATGCCAGTTCATTTTAGACTCATCGTTTCCCAGTCTCCGGAAAGTATACCTTCGATAGAAA